CAGCCTCGGCTGAGCTGTCCGCCTCACACCACACCAGCCTCGGACAGAGGAGGAGGAGCGCTCAGACAGTTAAAATACGCACAAAAACATCAAAATTAGCACARAAACAGTACTATATAACATTTTAGACACATTCCAGAGAGTTTATCAGCTAAAAAAAGTTCATTTGGGGGTAAGTTACTCTTTAAAAGCAAAATAATCTTAGTTTATTTGAAATGTGTACAGAAACAGTTTTTTTTCCACCTGTGTGTTTTCTCACCTAGGAGTCATTGCAAATGACTGTTTAACTTTGTGTGTGGATTTGAACGTGTTTCTTTAAACTGGTGTTTGTGATAAATGCTTTATCACACAGCTCACAACGAAACGGTTTCTGTCCTGTGTGGATTCTCATGTGGTTGTCTAAACTGCCCTTTTCTGTAAACCTACGCTCACACAGTTCACACCAAAATGGCTTCAGTCCTGTGTGGATTCTCTTGTGTGTGTTTAAATTGCCCTTTGTGTTAAACCTTCGCCCACAGACCTCACAACAAAATGGCTGCTGTCCTGTGTGGATTTTCATATGTGCGCTCAAATTGCTCTTTTCAGTAAAGCTTCGATCACACAGCTCACAACAAAAAGGCTTCTGTCCTGAGTGGATTCTCATGTGTCTTTTTAAATGTCCCTTGAGGGTAAAGCTATGCCCACACAGCTCACAGCAGAATGGCCTCTGTCCTGAGTGGAGTCTTACGTGTCTACTCAAATGTCCCCTCTGACCAAAACTTCGCCCACAAAGGTCGCAACCAAACTTTTTGTTGTTTTTTACATCTGATTCAAGAGCCGTGCTGGGAGAAGTCTCACAGTCTTTATCAGTGTCTTTTGTCCCAGAGTCTGCTACATGTTTCAGCTGAGAGTCAGGATCATTATCCTCTTCATCATCATCCTCACTGACTTCAGATTCTGAAGAGTCAGAATCATCTTCATGAGTACTCAGATCTGGGTTTCTGGTAGTTTCTGCTCCTCCACAGGACTGTACTCCAGTTTCTGATTCCAGGTTATCAGCTGAGCTGCTGGTTGGAAGATCTCTGGCTTCAGCTTGGTGTTGATGAAGCTGTAAGAACAGAGGTCCATCTTCATCATCCTCAGGATTCAAAGGAACTTTAGTGAATGAAAAGTTGGTGTCACCAGTCTCCTCCTTCACGTTGAGCTGCTCTGCTCCCAGACTGCTCCCCAGTTCCTCCTCTTCCTCCTTTATGTGGAGGTGTTCTTGGTCCTTCTGGTCCACATCAGGCTTCTGTTCTTCAGGAGCTTCTTTAATCTGCACCAAGTCCTGAACATCTGAAACACATGAACAGAACATTAAAGAGAACTGTATTGTTAGGTTCACACATACAACTCTTGTTTTACTGTTCAGGTTAAAGAGTTGTTTTCTGATCTTTTCCAACACAGTAAGCTCTGGCTATTGCACTAAAACTTCAAAACACAGCACTAACTCAACTTTTAGGCTTTGTAGACGTTTGTTGGGAGAACGGGCTGCCTTCCTTGAATAATAATAAGGGGAAATGATGGTTATTTTTAATTCAGTTCTTTAATATGTAGGGGTTTCCTACCTACCTCGATTTCTGATTTCTGATGGACATAACTTGTTATGACTGTTTGGTGAAGAAAATAAGATATATTACCTCGATTTCTGATTTCTGATGGAC